GAGCCTCAGAAAGGGACATAAAAGATTGGCATGCAGAAGAGCAACAAAGTCAGGTGGGGTATCCACAGGAAAGGATTTCCACCCCCTTTTCTTTGCTGTTGCACAGATCATGCCCAGTGGATCCAGCGAGAGCCCTCAGCCATCTCTGTGCTCACGTTAGAAGGTCTAGGGGACAGCTCTGAAGATGGAGTCTAACATTCTCTATGCCACAGGACTATTCTGAGATGGAATTCCTCTAAACTGAAATGATCTTTCAAAAAAACAGACCTGTTTAAATTAAATCCTTGGTGACTAAGAGCTACCCGGCGCCACCTAGGGCTAGCCCTTTAGAAATGGGCACTTAGAATTTGTCTAGCTTCAACTTCCAACCATGGGAATTTCCTAGACTTTCAATAGTAGGGAGAAGCTGATGAGGTGTCAAAAAGCCACAGAATCTCAAAGGTTTAACTGATCCCTAAGACTCCGCAATCTTCTCCCAACTCTCCCGGAGCGCTCTGGAGCAAAGCGCAGTGCAACGCCTGAGCGTGGCACCCGGTGGGTTCTCCCCTTCACAGCAAGACCCCACAGAGTGGAGACCCTGTCTTGCAGCAAGCACGCCTCTTGTCACTCTGGACTGAGCCAAACGCTCTGTTAGCTCTACCACCTTCTACAGCATCTTCTGAGGAGTCAGCCAGGCACCGAGAAGCCACCATTTCTGCTGGAAGCTTATTCTACTGATTAATCAATTTCCTCTTCAGAAACAAATACCCCATTACCTGTGTAAAGTCTGTCTGCCTACAACTTCCAACCATTAGTTACTATTCTGCTTTTCTCTGCCAGACTAAACAGCCTTTCACAACCTGGTTCCTTCACCCAGAATTACATACAGTGTGTCATCTCATTTACAGTAAGTTTAACAGACTTAACTTCTCCTCCAAACTCATTCTGAATTTTCTGTATCTTTTCTAAAAAAAGACCCAGATACCAGAACTGGACACTTGTTCCAATATTTGCCTCATCAAAACCATGCACAGAGGTCAAACTCATTTCCTGTTCTCTATAATTCTCCACTTACACTGAGGAACATTAATTGCACTGTCCCTGGTGCCAAACAGCAAACTTCTTTCTATGATGAGCGTTCCACAGCATCAATACTAATTTCAAAGAAATCTACAGTCCCATGATGACTTCCATCAGTCAAATCCATTACACCAAAGAACCAAATGAAGTTTCTTTGCTAAGCCCTACTCCTCAGCAGCTGCATTTCCTGCAAACAGCTTCTATCCCGCCTAGTCCCCAAGCCCAGTCGCAATTCAGGAGACATGAGTGCTTCCCAGGAATGACAAGGGGCTGCATGCTCAGAAGAGGCGAAGCAGACAAACATCTGCCTCCTCTCTCCTTCAGCCACGGTTCACTGCCTCAGCCCTGCTGTCTTGGGCTAGAGGAGAGGAACGGGAGGACAGGAGGCAAAGCTAGGGCTGACCCTTGCGTGGGGCATGTATGGGTATTGCTGGGGACAGGGTTTTGGGACTCTGACAGGGTGAGGCGTGGGGGGACTCTCACCTCCTGGCATAGTCATACAATGCTTGTTTCCGCTCCTGCAAGGACAGATGCCGCTCCACAGGGGACTTTGCAAATTGCTTTGTAGCTGGCTGGAAAAGAAAGCACAAGAGTCATCAGGAGACAGTCAAACCAAGCCAGGAGACCTCCTTAGTGGCTCTGCAAGGACCCGGCACGCCAATTCGGTCTCCAGTTTAAAATGTTCTGTTCCCCTGACATCAAGGCTAGTCCTGAACAGGCCACTGTGTTCTGGCTGTGAGCCATCAGACCAGAGGAGGCAACACAACCACGAGAAGTACCTTGGAAGAAGGCACAGCTATGGAGCCCTGGATGCCAGAAGCAGCTGCAGCCTGGGAGGTAGACGGGGCACGCAGGTCAGTACCAGCCTCCTTACTTTCAGGGAAGAAGGGTATTCTCCCCTCCAGCAAGTTGGCAATGGTGGTATCCACACAGGTGGTTTGGGCTGTAGGGACGAAGAGGATCTGTTAGAGAGCAAGCTGCTACATCAGGACACTCACATCCTTGCTGCCATGGTGCTCCACGGCACAGCAGGGACAAGGTTTCTGCTTTCAGGTATCACAGAGACTTGGCAAGGAACGTGAGCCTGCGTCCCTGCTAATACCCCCAGCACCGCTTACCCAGGTCTCTCCTGATGACCTCCAGAGGCACATGAGGCAGCACCTCCTTGACCCGCTGAGCCATTGCCGTGATCCGCACATCTTCCGGAGCAACACCAGCCAGGCTGGAAGGCATCCTAGGCCTGGCTGCCAGGGGCTGGCTTGAGGCTGCAGGAGAAAGAACAGTGGGCACAAGAAGGTGGCCTAAAGGTGCACGGCCTTCAAGTTGCGACAGCTCCACTTTCTCTAGTGTGAACTGGTGCGATAACAAAGCTGGACCTCCTGCACGCCACCATCGTGTCGGTGCTCTGGAGTGGGGCGGTCCTCTCCCTGCCAGCTACCACACAGGCAGCCCCTGCTCCCCAGGATGTCGAACATGCCTTTTCTTCTCCCTCCACGCATGAGTAACCAAGAGCAGACTGAGGCCTGCCCAAAGGCAAAGCCTGTGTGGCCCTTCCGTAGTCGGGACACTACCCAGGACACCCACCTGGGGCAAAGGGGAGAAGCGACGTGTGTCTCAGCCTCTTCATGTGTTCAGCTTTGTCTGCTGCAGTGAGCCGTGTGGATACCACACCCAGCTCCATGGCCAAGAGCTGCAGAAACGTAGAGAAGAGTCACATGTACACGACACAGAACATGCATGACCCAGGCATCCCCATCTTGCAGGGGAGTGTATCAGATGTACAGGCCTGCATGGAGCCACGGCGAGGGGAAGAGGACTGGGAACTGATTTCTCCAGGGCCTCAGTGATGCATTTCAGTGTTGCATGGAGCACATGAAGGACCAGGAGTACGCAATATCATCCTGCTAAAACAGGCTGACGGGGAGATACAAGATCTTTGGTACAGGAGCTATGAAGTACCCAGCACATAAGGGAAAGGTGGAGAAACAATTGCTTTATTTGATTTCTGGTATTATGAAAAGGGAGTGAAAGGTTTGAAATAGATGGGGAGAGCCTTCATAACTGGCAGAACGCATAAATGGGGGTAGCAAATAGGCCATGGAAAAACGGAATAATTATAAGGGGCAATAAATACAGGCCAGAGTTCCCATCATACAAATACACCCATCCAGAAATGCCCTTTGCAACTCTGCTTGCACCCCACGGTCCTCTGTGACCATCCCAAATTGCAGCAGTCCTACACATCCCTCTCCCACGTCATCCTCCTACCTCCTGAACTCGGAGCGCAAAATCCTCACTCAGTTCTTCAGCTCGTCTGGGGACAGACGGCATCCACCTGAATGGGGACAACAGCACTGGGCTGACTGCTTTAAGGGCTGCTGGATGAGCCAGCCCCATCTGGCATTAACAGTGCAACGGTGCTATCCCCACCTCAGCTCTCCCTGCTCACCCCAAATCTCTCCCCACAAGACAGTGTCAAACCTCAACACTAGCTTGCAAAATTAAGGGCAAGGCACGGCTCAGAAGGCAAAACTAGCTCACTGAATCTTTATTAGCACTCAAGCATAACTTGTGAAGTTATCTCCTAATCGAGTTCCCAGAAAGGCCCCAAATGAGGAGACACTGCTATTTACATGAGAGTAGAAAACAGATCAGCAAGACTCAAGCCAGATACGGCCAGGGAAAGCTATAGCACAACACTTTTCTTTGCTGAAGTACCCCGACCCCTAAATTTGACTCCAAGCCCCTTCCACTGCCTATGGACCCATATTACACCAACGCTACTCAGCCAGTCGGGGCTCACCTGGGCCCTAGACAGGTGTCTGAACCAACTCTGCAATTCACAAGGGATTGCAGGGAAGAGACAGACGCGAGAGGACTGAGCTGCCTGCAGGGAATCACCCATGGGACCTGAGCAACCCTGGGATGAATTACAGCAGAGCAGCTAGCTTCAGAAATATACCCGGCAAACTCGATATAAAAGCCCCGAGAGATTCCTTCACCAACTGAACACAGGAACTAAGAGCCCTCTCCACTTCAGAAGCTGGTTGAAGCTGGTCCAGAAACTGGACCTGGCATGGACCAAATGATGCTGAACAAAGCCATGCTGAGATACCACAATGAGGGTGCTCATTAGTGCATACCAAAAGATCTCTTACTTCAACAGCAAAAACATCAGGCTCTCTGCCCACCCTAAACCCTGCCCCAAATGAAAGAGAGAGAGAGAGATAGTACCTTACTTGATAAACTGTGAAGGGAACAAAGAAGGTCCAGAGCAGCTCTGTAATCCAGGAGGAGTCAGCCACACTCTGGGGAAGAGAGCACAATGAGATCGCAGCCCACAAAACACGAGCTAGTCAGGTCTCCATCAGGGCAGCAGCGGACAGAACACAGCTAAGCCATGGCAGTGAGTAACAGATACATGGGCAGAGAGATGCGGAGAACTGGGAAAGAGGGAATGGCAAACCCAGCATACAGTGAGGGCAAGCCCCAGGGTAGATTCACCTTCATTAGTCTTCACCAGGCAGAGCAAGAGTTAAAGTTTGTACTGCACCGAGTCTTCTCCTCCCACTAGGACAGCAAGATTTTCCCTCAATATCCCCACATTCTCTACTAGACTGTGCCTTTAGAAAGGACCGAAAATGCCTTAAGACCTACTAACACTTCCTTAGAATCATGAACAATCCTCCCTTATTCTGATGGGACCAGCCCATGTAACATCTCAACTCCCGTAAGCTTTATCTCTTCATTTCCAAACAGGCTGCACTGTGAAGTCTTAAACAACTCTTCTCTTTGAAGATAAATCATTAAAGGTGAGCAGTAATTTATTACTTTCTTCCTATTTCTGAATATTAGTAAATAACCTTTTCCCTAAGAAGTACTGCGATGCCTACCAGAAGAGAGCACTGGAACAGGCGCTCTGAAGCGGTACAGGTGCTCCGTCCTCAGCGGGACACAGCCCCGAGCAGCTGGACCATGCTCAGAAGCCAGTCTGACTGCGAGCAGAAAGCTCAAACTAAACACCTCCAGCGATTCCCCCCAACCTACACTTTTCAACAATTCTAAAGAATTTGCTATTGAATGGACGTTGTTCCTAGGATTTTTGTAGTCGGTTAATTTTATCCTGCTGTGACCATTATCCACAAGCTGGTGAGGACAACATCTCAAGATCTACAGCTCGCAATGTAGCTGCCTCGGCTTCTTTTACACGACTTTGTCCTTGACCAAAGCAGCGTGGCTCCAAGACAGGCCTCGTGCCTGGTTTATGCCATGGCCTGGAAAGAGGTGCTATAAATGAGAAAAGCCCAGAAACCACAATCACCAAGGGGAACATAAAGGAGCTTCATCTCCTGGATAAACAGATCTAAGAAACCTAAAATCAAATGCCTTATAGTGATGCCAAGAGCCAGACTTCAGTTACGCTGCCTTGTGCCACAGAGCAACGCCCTCCTTCAAGGTTCCAGCCAACTGGAGCTGGAGAAAATTCTTTCTTAAACACAGATTTGGTGGTTTGCTCAGCCCAGTGTCTAATATATATCATGTAAGGGTCTAAGAAAGTTTTCTGTAAAGCACTGATTGAACCATTCAAAGTATTGCATCTCCAGCCCTCAGAAGTTTCTGATGGTTTAAAATTACATAAGAAATCCACTAGGATTTACTTAGCCAATGTGCATAAAGGGCAAAAAATTCTGCTCAACCTCTGAAGGTAAAAATCTGAGCCAAGAAGTGACCAGTATCTTCAACAGATCTGCAGTTATGTGCATGCTGTTCTTCCTAACATTCATGAAGGAAAGGATACACCGACAAATATACAACTTGTCACATTTCACAGAATTTCTCAGAGGAGCCAAAACCATAGAAAGATAAGATATTCATTATAAACAAACCAGAACAGGACAGCTATCCCACTTCTCTGGAGTAGTCATTCAAAAATTCAAAGTATCCTCACTTTTAGAAAACTGTGTCTTAATCCAAAACTGAACTTGTGCAGCACCAACATTTAGTCTCAGCCACTGCAAAGACTGCTACTGCGTGCTTTGTCAGAAAAAAAGTAAGAATTCTCCACTCTTAAGCCTCTTCTCCAACGTGCACGCAGCTACCCAGAACAATCTCTCTGCCTCTTCTCCGATAAGCTGATTAAGCTGAGTGCCTTTAAGTGTTGTTCTCTGGATTCTGCATCATGCTTATGGCCTCCTTGAACTCTACTACTGCCCCACTTCCTTGGCAGCGGGGTCACCAAAGCTTTGCACGATATTTTAGCAGTTTTCACCATTGCACACATGCAGCTAACACCGTGTTCCTCACCCTGCCAGATATTCCTTGCGTTATGCACCCACAGACCACATCAGACTTACAAAGTAACAGACGTTCACTGGCAGCCATCAGTTCACTGGATCACAGTCAATAATCTAGCCTCTTCATTATTCGCTAACCTGAACTTTACCAGCAGGGATCTCAATATTGTCATCTGCAGTTCCGATAAAAGAACTAAATAGCACTGGGCAAACAACTAATCCCTTACAGAATCTCACTTTAAAAATACCTGCAAACTGATGTTTTAGCATGGGCAGCGATGTTTTGGGACCTGCTGGTAAATGGCTTTAAATCTATCTGCTGTGCCCTACTACCTTAAAAAGATGGACAATACAAAATCAACTAAAAAGTCTGAAAAATATAAAATCTGTCTTTTAATCAAGTAGATCCATAAATCATACCAAGAAGTAAGAAATGCAACAAAATCTCACTCTGTAAAGAGAATTATTTTATTGCAATCTATTTAGCAGTGCTAGTAGTATCATCGTGAACTTTGCCACTTTTCTGAAGCCAATGTTGCGTCATGTTACATATCTGCATTTGGGAGGCATGAGTTCAAGAATCTAGTCCCGAGAGCCTCACATAAACTTTAGCACATCAGCCATGCTCCAAGGTGGCTGGAGCTATTCTTTCAAAGCACTTTAAAAGAGGGGAGCTCACAAAGAGGAGATGAGACACAGTGATGCTATGGTCATGGAAGCCAGATGGCACATTGTTAGACAGCTGAGCCACTAAAACATTTATCAAAATTGCCAGTGTAACTAGAAGAGTATTGACTTAGCAGAAGTTCCCTGGGAAAGGCACTTGAAAAACAGAAGTGTTAGCACTGAGAAGCTCATCCTTGGGGTGACAAGACACAAGGCCAGGCTGCACTACCCATCGGCTTCAAAGCAGAAGCAGCATTAACGGCACTGCCAAGACCCTCGCACAGTGCACGCCTCCACAACGCCTCCTTGCCCTACGTCCCTGACTCACCACAGTGATCAAAGGCCTCTGAACTTGTAGGGCAACTGGCTGTACCACATCCAAGATTGAGAACGGCCAAGAGCTGAAAAGGAAGAATTCAGCAGTGAATGACCCCAAAGCTAAAAAAAGCGATGACAGCCCCGCCACAGGACTATCCATTCCTAGTACCTGAAGCGGAGCAAGCCGGCCCGGCCGTTGGTGGCAGCCTCCTCCGGGAACAGCAGCAGTGGTGGGTTTCCTCTGTGGGACGAATACACCTTCAGGGAATCCACCAGCTCTGCTCGGCTTCCTGTTACTCCCAGCTCCATGAATCCCCGTGACCAGCAGATGAAGCCAGGGGCGCCGTTCAATGCAGGCTGCAAGGGAAAACAAAAGTAAGGAAGAAATGCAGTCCTGTCCTCCCCTCAAGCCCTACTTTCCCAGATGACAGCGGGAGACAAAGTTCCTGCTTATCAGCAAAAATGCCTCTGGGGGATGAGGGAGCAATCTGCATGCTAAAAGCACAGTAGCAGAGAACTGCCAGGCTTCAGTAACTGCCCTGGCCCCAGTTCCCTAGGAATTTGGTTCCTGATCTTCAGTTCAGACTGTACCCTGTCTGCCAGAGAAACAAACTCCCCCCTGCCCTGGGCAACAACCATGTTTCCCCATGTTCTCTCTAGTAGTTCCTGACATGCTTGACAAAGGATATGTTACTTCCAAGAGGTACTCTTTTCCAGGTAAGGAGCAAATCTACTGCTGTTCAGGATATAAGACCGACCAACCAATCCCAGGCACATTCGGAGCCTGTTGATTCAGGAACTCCACACATAAGGAACTTCCCAAGAGTACAGGGAAAGTTACAGAGCCACCAGCCCAGCACAATCACCCAAGCACCACCACCCTGCCACGCAGCTCCCCTCAGCACCCCTCTGCAGCGCAGCCAGTTATCCACACGCACAGAAGCGGCACCCAGTGCTGGGACAAAACCCCACAGCCAGCCCTGCTTCTGACACCACCTATTTGAAAGGCCAGAAAAAGATACAGACGCTAGGATTTTCCCACTCTCTCAATAAAATCAATACCTGTTGTAACATTTCCTGTTCCTCCTCACCCTGTTTTATTTTTTCATGCAGAGCCTAAAGCATGACACTGAACCACAGGAAAAAACCTCAAGGCTTGTGCAATCCTGGGTTAATAAATAAGAACTGAACAGGACCATAGCAACATCTAAATTCTGAAACAGCTCTCTGTCCAGACCCGCCACGCTCGGCTCAAAGTTACTCACCGTATTACATGAGGTCAGAAGGTTGATGACGTTGTGATCGAATTGTGTCACGTGGTTGGCGATATACACCCTCACATTGACATCACGAAGTCGGGGATCACTTTGCCGCACAAATAAGCCCAGCACTGAGCACATCACACGTACAATAAACCTGTGGGGGAAGGGCAGAGGTTTCCTCAAGTCCTGCAGTCTGAGCCACCGCTGGCTTACATATCCAACAAACAGAACAGAAACTGGTACAAAAAGGAAGCCATATGACAGATGTCTGGGCCAGGAGTTGTTGTGGGGCTGCAGCTGGGGCTGAAGGCTGCCTGCAGAGCTGTAGCTGCAACACGAAGTATGGGCCAGCAAGCCTCACGCAGAATTTCTTAGCAGGATACCCAGCTCATCCAAGTGTTTCAGAACAGTCCTTGAACACTCAAGAGGCGATTGCCAGCTTTGGTCTTGGCAGAGAAGGCACCTTCATGGGCCCTGGGGATAACAAGTGCCAAAAGCACAGCTCCCCGTAAACCTCTGCGTGAACCAAGCTTCCGTGGCTAAGGGCCCCAAACAGGCAAGGGCAGCCCTCCCGCCCCACGCTGCCCCGCAGCAGTGTCTGCACGTCATGTCCCCACCCTGGGCAACAGCAGGAGCTCCGCGCCCTGGGGAGAGCTGGGCTCACGCACCGTCGCAGCACGCTGTCAGGCAGGGCGCAGCTGACCAGGAAGACGTGTACACCGATGAAGAGGCGCAGGACGAGCAGGCAGAGCCCCACGGGTGCGTAGAGCAGCAGGGCTAGAAGCAGGAACCCATCGGTCGGAAACCTGCAGGGCCAAAGAGCAACGCAGACAGCCTGAGCGTGGCTGGGA